CTTTGAAATCATTGGCAGTGGATAATTCTATAAGCAAAATGGTTGCGTTGGAGGACTTGCCATTTAGTTTCGTAGAAAGTGTTGGATTCGCAAGACTTATCAAGCATTTGTGTCCGCCTTACAATTTAAAGTTGCGTCAGTATTTCACTTCATTTATATGCGATAAATTATTTGGCAGTATAGCAGATAAGTAAGTCAGAAAAATTCTTCAATTACTAAAATCCTTCGAAAAATTATCATTTACTACCGATATTTGGTCTGATAATTGTTCTGGAGTTTCATTGCTGAGTTTAACTTGTCATGGAATAACAAAAGAATTTGAAAGGAAAATGATAGTGTTAAAAGCAGAAGTGTTTAATGAAGACCGCCACACCGGAGAACATATTACTCATAAACTTAAAGATATCTTGTCGTTTTGGGAAATACCTAAAGAAAAAGTGAAATGTGTAGTTCGCGATGCAGGTGCTAATATCAAAAAAGGTGTTAACTTATTAAATGTTAAACATATTGACTGTACTTCTCACAAGATTCAAAATGTGTTAAAAGCAGGGATGAAGGCTCAAGAATTTGTCGTGGCTGTCAAAACAAAATGCAAAAAGATGGCAACTCATTTTCATCATTCGACTGCTGCCCAAGATGAGTTGACCAATATACAAAAAAGACTTAATCAAAAACCTCTTAAGATTATTCAAGAATGTGCTAGTAGGTGGAACAGCACTTTTTATATGTTCGAGCGTATTTTTTAAGTCAAAGAGTCATTATGTCTGTACACTTCGTCAAATGATAAAATTCTTCAGCTGGCTTCTGAAGAGTGGATGATTGTTGAAAAACTTATCGGTTTACTAAGACCATTTGAAGAAGTGACCAGAGAGTTAAGTGCTGTCGATGTTTCTATTTCTTCTGTAATTCCCTTAATTGCTACTCTAGAAAAAGTTGTTCATGATCTTGATTCATCCGATGAACAGATTGGTGATACGATTACCGTCATAAAAAGATGAGCTTATTCGCAAGTTTTCTGGTTTAGAGAATGAAATATTGTTTGCCACGGCGACCTTTATTGATCCAAGATACAAAGCAAAATTTTTAAAAATACGTCGACTAAAGAGCTTGTCATAGAGCATATTTTGGATTTGCTTAGAGACAATGAAACCGACATATCTTCCAATTCACTTTACCAGAATGCAAAGCGTGTTAGATTAAATAATAAATGCGAAAATTACGAAACAGACAACAGTCTATCCTTAAAAGAAACGATGAGTTTACTGATGGATACGAGTGATAGTGAAGAAGATGACATGGCTCTTCCTGGTTTTCAAAACTCTGTCCATTTTTTAATCCGTAAAACTGTCACAGAATACTCATCGGAAAAACGCATGGCAGGTGACGTCGACCCTCTAACATGGTGGAAAGTGAATAAGAGAAGGTACGATCTTCTTTTTCCTGTAGTTCGGCAATATTTAGTTACACCACCAACGAGTGTCCCGAGCGAGCGCTTGTTTAGTGGCGCTGGACTTCTTTATACGAGACTTGAAGGAGAAAAGGCGTCAAAGCTATTATTTCTAAAGTTTAATATTCCTCTATTAAATTTTAATTATTAAAAAATAACAGTTCTCTGTTTTTATTTACTGTTAAAAACAAACTTGAAAAATAAGTAAAAACAGACAATTGTTGTTTTTTAATAAGAGAGGGCAGTATTTTTGTTTAATACAAACACAAAATTAATATAGCTTGTAAAAAAAAGTGAGTTTTGTTAATAAAAAAAACTGAGAAAGGTGAGAAAACTGAGATTTTTATTTTATTATCCTAATCTTCAAATTATTATTTTTCTTATATTCATATTCGCAAAACATTCGCACAAATTTTGCGAATGCGAATGCAAATGCGAATATGCGAATGCGAATATTCGTTACATCACTAGTGGAAATGCAAATCCTGCCTGACGTCTAGTTCGTGATGGCTCATTTTTTTTTTCTGGAAGCCACATGGCCCTTTCTTCTTCACGTGCCATCTCCGCGACGGAGGTTGGCAATCATCATGTCTATTCTGATCTTAGATGCTGCTGCTCTGAATAGTTCAATTGATGTGCATCCGTACCATTCCCTCAAATTACGCAACTATGAGATTCTTCTTCTTCCTACACTTCTCTTGCCCTGGATTTTATCTTGTATAACCAATTGAAGTAGGTTGTATCTCTCATTACGCATAACATGCCCCAGGTATTGCAACTTTCGTGTCTTGATGATTTCCAATACTTCCATTCTTTTGTTGATTCTTCTCATGACTTCGTTGTTTGTCACATGCTCGGTCCATGATATCTTCAGGATTCTTCTATACACCCACATTTCAAACGCTTCCAACTTTTTAGCAGTCGACGCGTTAAGTATCCATGCTTCCATTCCATAAAGCAGAATCGAGAAAATATAACACCTTGCCAACCTAACTCTCAAGTCCAATTTTAGTTCTCTTGCACAAAGTACCTTTCTCATTTTCTTGAAGTTTGTACGTGCTTTCTCTATTCGAACTTTGATTTCTTTGGAGTTATCGTTTGTGTGATTAATTATTGTGCCAAGATAGTGGTAGTTTTCAACTTGTTCTAAAACACTACCGTTAATTGTCAGGCTTCTAGCATTATTTTGGGTGTTTGATATCCTCATAAATTTGGTTTTCTTGGTGTTTATTGATAATCCATATTTTTCTCCATACTCAACTATCTTGTTCATTAGCTTTCGGAGGTCTTGGAGATTGTCTGCAATTATGATATATCGTCCACATATCTAATGTTGTTAATTGGTGTTCCATTGACCTTGATTCCTACTGTTTCTCCCTCAAGAGCTCTTTTCATAATTTCTTCAGAGTATGCATTAAATAGTAGTGGTGACAATACACACCCCTGTCGCACTCTTCTTTTAACTTCGAACTCTTCTGATGTGTGTTCATTAATGCGTACGTGTGCCTGCTGTTTATAATATATATTTGTTATAATTCGAAGGTCATTGTGTTGTAGTTGTTTTGCTTTGGGGATGTCCATTAACTCTTTGTGGCGGACTTTGTCGAAAGCTTTGTTATAGTCTATGAAACAGGTGTACATATCTTGGTTCACATCCAAGCATCTCTGGATTAGTACGTTGAATGCAAAGACAGCTTCACGGGTACCTACGCCATTACGAAATCCAAATGGAGTTTCTTCAATATCCATATCGCTCCTTAAATACAAAAGCACCACAAGTCAAAATAAGCAAATTGTACAGGAGAGGCATTTACAAAAATAATTTGGATTACTTTATGATTTTTGTATAAACTATATGTATTAGGTAGATTTTTTTGGTATCAAAAGGTGCGTAATTAAATAGCCTATATCAATAAAGCAATCTTAACCATAGCTCGAATGGACTGTCGAAAAAATGCAAATAAGTTAGTTTTGTATATAGACTTTGACGTCGAGAACATTAAAATTTTAAAAATTAAACCACCATAATTAGGAAACTTTGAGTTTTATTTTCGGTTGTCAACCTTACAAAATGTAAATTTATTAAAAAAAACGGCACATACTAACTTACTACATACTAAACTTGCTAAGGGAAAACAAATAATTGTTAATTTTATCATGAGATCATCAATTAAGTCTTTAATATTACCTATAGTAGTAGATAAGAGGAATAAATTTACGTTAAAAACAAAACTTAACCTTTTAAGCAAAAACCTTTAAGAGAAACAGAGGTAACTTTATCTTAAAATAGTATTATTAGCAGTTATAGTCTTATAAAATAAGGCACTAAGGAGAAAGACACCTTCAAAATAATCATTTCCATGATCTACACTAATCTCAACCGTATGAAGCACATAAACGTGGTTCTTACAAAATATTTTTATAAAACGTTTTCTTAAAACTACATTGAGCGTAATGCTCGTAAAGGATAAAAAAAAAACTTAACGAAAACATTAAAAATCAGTTAACAACAGTAACTTGTGCACTAATTTAGAGATTATCATAAAAAGATTCATAAAATCTTGGCACTACGTTTTTAAAACTCCAAGACTCAATTAAATCATTTTACATTACCAATACAAGGAGCGCTACTAAACAAATGGCCGTAAAACTCCCAGAAATCAGTATAAGCAAATGTTCTGGACACGTAAGTGATTTTGAAAGCTTCTATGAACTATTCGACACACTAATAATAAAAAATCAGTCCTTTTCTGACATCCAAAGATTTCTTTACTTGAAAAGTTATCTACAGGATGATTCTCTAAAGTTGGTGGATTCTTTGAAAGTCACAAATGAACATTTTTCAATTGCTTTAGATATTCTAAAAACCACTATCAAAATAAGGTCACAATCATAAATTCTTATTTAACAGAAATTCTAGATATTTCTACACTGAGAAACAGCTCATCGCAGATTCTCAGAAATTTTCTTTTGAAAATTGCTAAAAAATTTGCAATTTTCAAGTTCAAAGCTCATTGATATAATTTTAGTTTTTCTGCTAGAAAGCAAATTAGACTTTTCAACAATGATAGCTTCTCACTTGACGGCACCCACAGTAGCAAACAATGTTTCTGGAGAGGTTGCTCTACTTTCTACGTGTAGCACGGACAAGCTGGCCGAACAAATATTCCAAACTACTACAAAGATCCTTGAAAATGGACGCTTTGAAGTAGATATTCCAGTAAAAAGTGCACAAGAACACCAATGGAGAAGTTTACCATTTTTTTTATGATTGCAAATAAAAATTAAAGCAGACCTAAATTACACTATCAAAAAAAAATTATGATATCTCTAAAAATAAAAAAGTTATATGCATGCAAATTTGCGCGTTGCATTCATCAATTTTATTTCAGCAGACGGGCATCTCCGTACCAGTTTATAAACTGAAGGGAGCGACCGGCGCCTCGCTTAGATTACTCATCGTTTGTTCGTTGTCGAATGTGTACCATTTTATTGTTGTTATAAAGGTTGAAAGCGGTGTATAAAGAGTGAAGAAACAGTGTTATTGATTTATATGATGAGTAATATTAAAAAAGGCTGCTATAAATACTGTATTGTGCCTAATTGCACGAGCACAACAATTAAAACACCAAACAAAATATTTTTCCATGTACCTTTGCAAACAGACACGAGAAAGAAAAGGTGCAAATTAATGAAGCGAGATTTAATTGGATCCAAAAGTATAAAATACGTATGTGAAGAACATTTTGATGTGAGTTAACACTTTCTCATTTACTATCAAGATATAATAATTAATAGATATTAACTAATGGTGTAAGTGCAAACAATATAATATTATATAGGTTACTTATGTAATATCAAATACACTAGTTTAATTTTTTTGTAGTTCTACAAAGTCCATAAATGCATGCAGTAATATGCAACCATCATAAGTAGAAAATTTTACCTTGCAAAAACTCCAGAAAGATCACAAAATTGACTTTAAAGTCTTAAGCTATGCTTATTGCAGAATGTTTAACAATTCGTTAAAGTGTATTTGCAATATGTAAAATTTATGTTTATACCTTTATAATGTAACAAGTAAACTAGTTAAATTTTCCTCTATATATCTATTCATTTTATTATTACAGATTAAAAATGATACAGAAAATTTAATAAAGTTTAAATTGGTCAGTGGAACATTAAAATTGAAATCAGAAATATACCGTCACAAGTTTGATTGTCAGAAAGTAGTAAAACCTTTAAGAAAAAGTGGATCATATGAAAAGAGACGAAAAGCAGAATGTTTTAATGAGATTTTAAAAGATGATGTTCCATCGACCTCAGGTTGTCAACCTTTCGAAATCATTAATTGTGATCCAATATATGAAGAGAAAAGTGTACCAAAAGACCCTTTTTCCGAGGATTGTATTTTGAAAAGTGTACTAGGTAGTCCAAAGAAAAAATATAAACATAAAAGAGTGCAAGTTAATATAAAAACTCCACAAAAAACAAGAAGGTGCAAACAGTAAGGTTTAGACCGAAAAAAAAGTGACATGGAAAATAAGCGAAAAAACATCTGTTCCTCACCTGAAAGTTCTCCTTCAAAAATGTCTGTGTCATCATGTAGTAGCACAAGTTCAGATAGCATGTCAAATACAATCAAACCTAACTTTTATAAAGATACTATACTTAAATTAAATACCAACATCGGTTTTTATTTGGGATTACCAGAAGAAGTATATTTTCTAACGAAACAATTATCTGAAAGTATTGCTTCGCCAGTAAGAGATATTTTAATTTCATTAAAAAAAATTCGTCTTAACGACCCATATATACGTCTGGCCATTGACTTCGATGTCAGCACAAGTTTAATAGGAAAAATATTTAACAGAACATTTCCGTTAATAGCCAACCGCATGAAACAGTTTTTTTTCCGCCGATGAAACAAATTTATGAGAAGTTACCCTTATCTTATAGAAAGAAATATTTTAAAACTGTCAGTGTATTAGATTGCTTTGAAATACGAATAGAAAAACCTTTGAGTGCCAAGCAACAGTCTTTGACCTGGTCTGAATATAAACATTGTAATACAATTAAATATTTGATTTCCATTACACCTGATGGATTAATTAACTACATTTCGGATGGTTATGGTGGAAGGGCCAGTGACACAATAATATTTGAAGATTGTGACTTTTTGTTGAATTTGTCACCGGGATATTCTGTTATGGCTGACAGGGGTTTTAAAAACATATCTCATTTGCTAGAAACTAAAGGTTGCCATCTTATAAAACCTCCAAGCCTTTCTGCAAACACGGTTAGTTCAAAATTGGAAGTAATGGAAACGAAACGTATAGCAGCGCTACGTATAAATGTTGAGAGATCAATAGGTAGATTAAGAAATGTTTCCATGGTAGCCCCTCACGCTTGTATCGATACTACAGTCATTTGTATGTTGGATTTTATTGTTGTGATTGCATGTGGTATGGTTAATGTTCAAAATAAATTAGTAACATGTAATTAAAACGTATGGTGTTTTATTTTTAATCTACAATCAATAAATCAAAAACATACTCCCAAAACAATGTACACTTTTTAATTAGATTTTTGCAGTATTCTTCATTATAAAATACTTCAAAAACATCTACTTTTTAGAAGTCTCAAAATCATCGTGAGCGATGCAAAAATAAGCTTTCAGTTTTTTTGCAAAGTGCATTTGTAATTGCACTTGGGCTTCGCATTTTGGTATTAAGTTATTTGAATTAATATATTTGGTTAAATTTTTGTTCTTCATCGGACATTTAATTTCAATAATATGGTCTTCTGTAATACCATCTGGAGAAGCACCCAACAAAGGATATTCGCTTAAGAGAAAGAGTCCGCACTTGTTGATCTTAATATTTTTAATTTTTTTTACCTCTCTCCTTATATGGTTTTCTAGGCGTTTTCCTAAAACAAAAATTAAAAAGTATTAGGTACACCAACATATTAAATAAAAATTTATTAAGTACCTCTTTGCATTGCTATCGGCTCTTTAAACTGATATGCTCCTAAAAATTTTTCTACGAGTACCGCATCCGAAGTTTTACATTTTGACGCTTCATGAGCAATAGAAGCCGTTATTCTGCCGTACCTCAGCTCGAACCATAGTGGAGAGTCAAATTGGTTGCTTGTTGTCTTTTCAATCAAGTTACATTGCTTTTCAGTAATATTCTGTTTGCAAAATGTTATAAAATCATTTAAACTAAACTGAACCTTACTACTCTTGTATTTACAAATCAGGTAGTGTAGTGAAGCTTTCATCTCCAAGTTTACATCCTTAAAATATGTCATTATTTCGATGTTGTTCGCATTTCGTTTCTTGCATTCGCTAATAAAAGTATTACAAAATTCATTATCTTCTGTTATTTCCGAAATTGTTGCGCAGTCTTTGTTAAAATCTTTAGCTTTAATAAATTTAACGTTACTTCCAACATTAGAAAGCGCTGGTTTCATCCAGTAGCACTTTACTGAAGTAGTTGCAGGTGCCTCACTAATTTTAAAAAGCCACACTAAAAAAGCTACTGTATGTTTACATCCACCTTGATTAGCAGCACAGTCATGACAAAGAACACTTTCAACCTTTTTCTCACTTTCGTCACAAACCAATGTACCTACAGTGATAAGGTTTACTTTTTACTCTGTGTTCAGGTGAAATTCTGCATTTTACAGTACATTTATTGCCTTCACATTTCACCTGGACATATCCGACAGCCTCATCTCGATAGGATTCTCTGCAGGCTCTGAAAAATTACTAATACTTAGGTACTTACTTAATTAATATTGTTTTAATCAACTTTACTTATGGACGACCATCATAATGATATATTAATGATATTATAATAACTACAAGCCACTACTGATAACAACTGATATTAAAACTTTTCACGAAAAAATAATAAGTGTTCTTATAAAATTAATATGCAAGTAAAGAATTATTGATTGGTCGGTAAAAACATTAAACAAATTTTTAAAAGAATAATGTTTGCATTAATATATCTTTGCTTTATCAGCCAAAGAATTTCTATATTAGTAGTTAAGTAGTATGTAGACAACTATAATATTAAGCGAAAGTAAATAGATACTTACTTAGAAAGTTTTACTCCTTTTATTTCAGCACTTATATAAGATGGATTGGAAGAAAAAAAGTCCATCACTGTATAAATATCAATTTTTGGCAAATTATCACTTTTACAATCCTTCTTCCATTACGATACAATAAAATTTGAACGCTACTACACGTAAACACTTGCTGGTTCAATGCAGAATAAATGGACCGTTCGGGACTCTGCACTCTGCCGCTCCAATACGGAGAAGTGACGTCAGAAACAAAGTCGAAGCGATAATCATTTCGCGCGGAAATTCTCAACTTTAATATTCCATATCTCCGTCATTTATTAACTAACGGATTTCATTCTTTCTTTTACTGATTTACTAGTTTTATTCTATACTTTGACTCCATTTGACTGAAAAACGTATTATCAACACTATGAAACTTCTCTATTACTGGGTTTTCCCCAATTTTCCATAGCCAAACGGCGTTTTCTCATTCGAAGGCTCTCATTCGAGCATTCGAAGGATAGTGGAACAATTGAACCGCTAAAAGAGACACTGTTAGCATACACGGCTCTCCCTGAAGGGATGTTGAAAACCGGCATCCCTCGAATATCTATAAGTTATGTTCATTGTACGAAAAAACCAATGGGGCAGTCCAACACATAACTTCAAACCGAACTGTCAAACTGTCTGGAGGGCAAACAATCAGCATTGCGATTTGCAGTAAAAGACAAATATTTAATTGTAGTTATCCAAATATAATTCGTAGATGACTTAATAATTGACAAACAGCATTTTTCTTTACTATAGTTTTTATTCACATTGATTACATGAAGATAATTATAATATAATGAGGTAAGTTGAAAAGTTCATAATAGTTTAGTTAAGTCGTTTAACAACCACAATTATTATCAATATATACTTATAATGATTGATAAGAATTTACTTTTATATATTAGCTTATTCGGCATATCGCTAATATTTCTCAGTTATAGATTTAGCTTCATTTAAACATTTTAGTGTTACACAAAATAAGCTGCTGAAATAAAAATAACATTTTTTTATCAATACAATTATGAACTAGGTGAGACTCAAAATATTTTTTATAATATAGTAAAGACATTTACACCTTATTAATTGATAATAAACCCAACTGTTTATTAATTTCATGAATGATATTTTGTTTCAGAAATGAATCGAAGTCATTACTTTAATAACTTGAAATTAGAGAATCCTGATGTAGCAAGCAGATATCTAGAGAAATTAAAACTAATCAACAACATAGATCCATATGCTGTTTCAGAAAGTGAATTAAATTACAATCCAAATGATTTTCGCCCAACAAGTAGCATATATGTAGTGAGCTATTTAGTGTTAAGCACCAGTTTTTACACACAACCGCAAATGAAAGCCTACAAAAGCCTGCAAGTATACAAATACTTTGAAGCAGGTTTTGTGAGCCATTGTGAGTCAAAATTTGTAAATGACAAGTTTATGACATTAGGCAAAGTGAGTATCGCATGTGAGGAGCAAATGTTTTAGGCTAGTTGTTACAATATATTAACTTGTTCTTTTATTGTTACAGATTAAACATTCACAAAAAATGAACGAGCCACCACTACAAGCATGGGTTGTGTCTAACCAAGATGGAAGTGTAGAAACAGGACATTGTACATGCATGGCAGGTGCAGGAGAAGTGTGTAGCCACGTGTGCCAGTGTGTAGCCAATGTAGGGATGGTTGGAACAGGGGTTTTTCAACAACTGTTACAACCTGTTTCAGTTCCAAAAATTTTCTGTTTAAAAAAAATCTGCTTCAGTTCCAAACTGTTCCAACTCTAACACTGTGTTACGGCCAACGGGTTGCTTCAGTACCGGTGCGGTTTTGTTCCCGAAAGGTTGTTGCGTTAACAATAGACCATTGTATTTGTGGTTGTATGTTTTGAAAGTTTGAAGTCTTCTCGCGAGTCGCATTAAAATTAAATTTTAGATAGTTTTATTGTCGGTTTAATACCTGTGTTATTTTCCATTTAAGTTATATATTCTTTTATGATGAGTTCGAATTCTTTATTGAAAAGGCACAATAAAAGTAGCCCAATTTACAACTTTTTTACCATAGTTGGCAACACGATTGCGAAGTGTAATATGTGTCAGTTACAAATGTCGTATAAATCATCAATAACAAACTTAAAAAAAAAAACATATTGAAAGAAAGCATCCAACTGTGAACATTGTAGTCATCACTACAACTACTAGCTGCGATTCACAGCAGTCAAGTGCTATAGTATATTTGAAGAATAAGCTGGAGTAAATTCTCAGAATACTAATCTTCGCACCTCGAAATACATAGGCGTGCACATCTTCTAACTAAAACGTAATCTTAAAAGAAAAGCTTGCGTTAAATTTATTTGGATATTTAGAACAAAGTAATTAATCAAATCCAATACTGGTTTAAAATAAAAAGATACATATAAAAAAAAATAAAAATTCTATTATTTGTGAAACATACAGTTAATATGGCAGATAAAAGTAAATTTATTTTTCTCCTACTAAAATTCCAAATATTGCGATTAGTAGCGAAAAATAATTTACGGTTTGTTTACATATCGATACCTTAATTCGAAAACCGGCCAACTCCACGTTTTATCAAAAATAGTTTTTCGACGCAGTTGGTTTACAATTATAATTCCGCATGATTTGCAAAAACAACAACTCCAATACAATCACTAGTTTCTGTGTAAATCGGTATTCGAAAACCAGCCATCTCCGTTTTCTTCGGAACGTTATGATTTTGACAGCTAACTCCCCTAAGTCGATCATTTTATTCGGCGTTTCAACTACGTACGGGTATCGTTCCACAATT